CAAGCGATGTGTTCAGAGATGGGGTGACGCAAGGACTTGCAAGGAAAGCGGGAGAAGACAGTGAAGAGCTAAGAAGGACCAGGCACCTGGTATGCTTCTGAAAAAGCAGATTTCTCTGTCCCACTGCTGATCACAATCACTGAAGTGGGGCCTAGGAATCTGCATTAAAGCAGTGCTTGCAGTGTACTTAAAAAACGTTTTATTATGGAAACTTTCAAATATACAAAATAATACCGAGTAACCAATCTTGTTTCATTTAAACCCCTGAATATGGCTCTCCACTCCTGACCCCACTGGCTTATCCTGAAGCCAATCTCAGATATCACGTCATTTCATCTGTACATATTTCTGAAATATAAGGATGTAAAAAGCATGACCACAACACCAATTCTTTATAATCATCAGTCTCCACTGAAGTGTCCTGAGAAAGACCTGGGAAACTCTAAAAGCAGTGACCAGATTGGTGACTGTGTCTTGGTTATGTGCTTGAGAACAATTTGGAAAGCATTAATTCAAGCTGTTGATCATATCTTGCCCCTTAGGTAAGGAGCATGTGTATAAGTGGCCAGCACAGTGCCTTGCACATGACAGCCAACATGGTTTACATATCTTTTCTCAAAACCTGTAATTGATACATTGCCTGATGCACTTGAACCTCAAACAGATACAATCTTCTTCAAAAGAAAAGGAGGCCTTTGCAAGTGATCCAACTTTTCTTGTACTCACCCATAATAACCCCAAGAGCTATGATTTATTGATGGTTTATTAGGGACCAGGTCATGTGTCGAGCAAGCGTGGTACATGGAAGAAAACCGATGGTTTTCTGTTAAAGGAATCAACTGGTTACTGAACACTTTACATTGAACTTTCAGAGCAACTGCTACCACCTTGTCATGGAGTTTATTATCTTTGTTTTACAAACTCATGGTAAGAGTGAAACTTACTGAGTTCTAGGTCTGTTCTAAGTGCTTTCTGTATATTATCGCCTCATTAATCGGTACAGCTACTCTAAGAGTTAGATACTATTAGCCGGATTGACAGAGGCACAGAGTTTAAGGAACTTGCCTGGGACACAAACTGTTTAGAACACAAATTAAAACTGATGGGACTTGATTCAAATCAGAGCTGCCAAAGTGGTGAGCAGTAGCTCTGGAAGGAGAGTGGGGTAGTACCAATACCCGCAGTTACAAGTTCCCTGCAGAAACAAGACCAAAAACGCAGGTTCAGCGGTAAAGGAGGTAACCTCTGACTATGCAGGATCTCCTTATCTCTCCCTGTAATCAACACAGCCCCTTCCCCGCTCTGAGAAAGGGCAATTCTGCTTTGAGGCTGGAAGCAAGAGTTACATAAAGAAACCGTAGAAATCAGTAGGGTAGTTTTCTGGGCAGACTGACTAAACTCCTTTATTCCCCAAACGTTTACTAAACACCTACTATGTCCAAACAGGCTTCGCTGGTGGCTCGCAGTAAAGCGCCCGCCTGCCACGACAGGAGATTGGGATTCCACCCCTGAGTCACGAAGATCCCCTGGAGAAGGAAACGGCAACCCACTCCAGTATTCTTGCCTGGGAAATCCCATGGACAGAGGAGTCTGGTGGATTCCAGCCCATGGGGTCGCAGAGTCGGACACGACTTTGTCACTAAAATAACAACGTCCAAAACACTGTTAGTAGGCTAGTGTGGGGCTCCTGAGAACAGCGACCGCTGACACTTTCTGGAGCTAGCACGAGCAGCACTGGTTTGTTGAGGAGTTCTCCCACTTTCTTCTTCCTCAGGAACTGTCCTACCCTGCAAGGTGGCAAGAGCAGCGACCTCCGTTCTCAGGTTGCACAAACCTCAGAATGACAGACAAGCACTGCGTACACAGCTGGACTAATACCTAGGGAGATGCGTCAGAAACTTGGGACTCAGTCCCCCAGGCCGGATCATGTATAGGCTGGCTTTCTAGGTAGAGGAGGGATAATAGAATTTGCAGAGACAGGAACTCGGAGTCCTCCGGTCCCGCAGACCTCGACTCCAGCCCGCAACCCCAGCAGGTTTCTGTGCAAAAACCTTTTGAACTGAATGCACACACTGTCCTCTAACAATGCAAACGTGACAGCTGCCTATTGAATAATCGTTCCGCCTCCGTTTAAGCAGTTCGTGCGTGCCACAGAGGCATCTTCTGCGCTATAGTTATGCAACCTCACTCGCAGCGGGAGTTATTTCCTGTGCTTCTGGCTGCGCCAGATTCTTGTAACACGCCTACCCAGGGCTTCAATGGGAGTCGTTCTCCATTAACAACCAGTCTAGCTTTCAGAGATGAATGCCCCGCGCAGCATACCCCTTGCGCAGTAAGAATCCAAGATATTAAAACTCTTTCTCTTCTCGCTGTTTCTCTCTTATGCACACACACTCCGGGCTTGCAGCTCGGAGACCGCAGCAGTGCAACCAGAGGGACAGCAGGCGGAGCTCTCTTTGTACAGTCCCTCTCTCCAACCCCCACCAACTAAAGATGAACTCCTGCCAGTTCCATTCTTTGCAAGGAAAACACACACACACACACACACACACATATAGCAGAACAGAGCGGCCTCCAGTCTCCTCCTGGAGCACACTGTCACTCTAGCTTTTCTGTTCAAACCACCAGGCTATTCGAAAGCAAGTAACGGGGAGCAGCGCGCCGCAACAATGCAACCTCCGGAGCGGCTCCCCGTGCAGCTCCCACCCCCGCCCCCTTTCGCGGCGTGCCAAGAGTTTGGAGCGCGCGCACGCACACGAGCACGGTGCCTGCGTATCCCTCCGCCTCCCTCCTCCTCTCCCCGCTCGGAGGCTCGACAACGATTTGGGAAATGAAGGGAGGAGGGAACTACTTTCCTGAAACTTGCTATGCTGCACACGACTTCCAGTTGCAGTGATTCGTCCGGAGGTCGCAGCCTTTAGTCCTCCTACCTACACGCCCTCTCAGTCCGGGCACTCCGCGCGGCAACCCCGCCCCGTGCCCGCTCTGGCCCTCCGGGAAGCCGGCGGCCTGCAGAAATCGCCAGGGACTACTTCGCCTCCTTCTCCCGCGGGCGCCCCCGGTTCGGGCAGCGGCGGCGGCGGAAGGAGCGGGCGGCGTGAGCGCTTCCGCCGCCCCCCTCGCGGCTCCCCTCTGGCGAGCGTGAGGAGCTGGCCCGCGGAGCTGCTGGTGGGCACCGTCTGGTGGGGGACCCGCGGCCGGTCTCCTCACTCTCCCGCCTCTTCTCGGGACCCTGCCCCTCGAGCGTGCTGCTCTTCTCCGACCCGGGTGAGGACGATACGTTCGCCCGCCCCTGCCTCACACGCGCCCCGCCGCCCCCTCCTCCCCCTTCTGGAGTCGTCCTGGCCGGAGCGTGTCTGGAGGAATCCGCCGCCGTGAGGCCCCTCGCCCGCTTCTGCTCGTCCGGAAGGACCGGCCCGGTCGCCGCCCGGGGCTGAGCGGGCAGCCGGCGGCGAGGCGGGAGATGGTGGGGTGGGCTCCGGCAGGACCGCGTCGCCGCCGCCCGGAGCTTGGGCTCGGCACCCCCCCGCCGGCCCCCACCAAGCGGATCCTTGCTTCCTCCTCGCCGCATCCCTGAGGGAAGCGCCGCCTTTGCTCCTGGGTTCTCAGCCCGCCTGCCTGCTCCTTGCTGGCCGGACCCCGCCGCGCTCCACCAGTGGCCCGAGGAGCCGGTCTCCAGTCAACCTTCGCAGCCCCCCTTCCTTTTTTGCTTGGCTCCCACCCTCCCCGGCCTCCTCGGATCCTTTGGCTGGACGCTGAGGCGGGGGAAGAGGCTGGGGTCGCCACGGTGGAGGTTGTCGCCGCCACCCCCCTGCGGGGGTGGCCGGGGTTCCCGGCTGGGGGGGCACCGTTCCGGGTGAGGCATCCACCATGGTGAGGCCCCTGAGCCGCTGCCCCCGCGCCCCCCCGGCCGCCGCTGCCTCCTGCCCCTCAGTGCTGCTGCTGCTCCTCTGCCTGCTGTTGCTCCTCCTCCATTTTATTTAATGGCAGGACCCCCGGACCCCCACCCCCAGCATGTAGTTGCTTTCTTCTGGGAGAAGGTATTGAATTTGGGCTGGGATGGCAATTGTTTGTCCATGAGATGGAATAATATGGATGGATGGAGGAGGGGTAGCAATTATCCCACCCAGTGCCTGGAAGACCTCTGGCCTGTCCTTTTTCACTTTAGCACACCAATCAACACACCTTAAATATCCATTTTGCCTCCTTTATAGCTGTTTCACTTGGAAACTAATGTGTGGGAGCACCTCCTGCATCAAACTGCACTTGAATCTTAATTCGATGAGTCAGTGTTTCTTAAATACCGATTAAGCCTCCCCCCGCCCCTCACCCTTTTTAAACTTATGACCTGTAAAATTTTTGTAAAAAATGGAGCTAGGGAAGCATTTTTATAATTTCTGTAGCTTTGGGGACACCTGGAGTGTGGGCGATGTTGAACTATTCTATTTTGCTTTGCGAACGCTGGACTTATCTTTATGAGGAGCATAAGAAAATTTTGAAAGCTAAATTTTATCTTTCAGCTACATTGAAACACACCGTTCACGTCGATTTAACAGTGTTTACATTGTTGAACATGTTGATGACTTCATTCATTAACTTGCAGAGCATCTCAGCTTAAGTTTTTGTTTATTTGGGCTGTCGTTATGTTTTCCAAGCAAAATACTTTGCCTTTTAAATATTTTGCTGTAACATAATAGCTGCCTGGAGGAATAATGAGGCTGCAACAGTTTTCTGTTGAGACGGAACTTAATTCCATGCGAATATTAGTGTCCGTTTTCTTGTTATTAAATTCCAAGTTTTGTTTATCTTCGGAGGGTTGGAAAGAGTTAAAGTGAGTTAGGACTAGTCCTAGGACGCATTCCTTTAAGTAAAGAGCATTCCTCGAGTCAGACCTTTCTGAGAGCTTTCAAGTCCGAAGCCTAGGCTTGTTTAACATAAAATAGCTTGAGAAATGCCGAGCAGCGTCCATGAAGTGGCCGCCATGTTCTCTCTCTTTTTGTGAATCGCCCTCATTTGCATAGCACACTTTTCATTCATAAAAAAATAATTAAACATCCATCACCTTGGACATCTTGAAAGGATTTCCCAGGAAGAAATTGGAAGCTCAACTGCCAGTCTTCATGTAAAGTTTTGAGGTCAGAAAGTAAGGAGCAATCGAAGTTATAGGTTAAATTCAAAAATATACGCCCACACAAACAACTACCCCTGTTCTCAGAATGTTGACACAGTTATGTGGGAAATATCAGTTCGGGGAGGTGCTGGGATCACGTGATCGCCTCCATTCATAAAATACCTGGCTGGCCATTCACAGTGCTGTACACTGTCTCACAGCCTTCCGCAGATTAGACCTACTTTGAGAGAGATCAAGACGTATCTCAGATAACGCTTAGTTAGGAGAAAAGCTGCTAAAACCCGTGAACAGAATGACGGTACTTTTTGCTGATGACCTTCTTTTAAGAAAGTAGCCTGGATCAAAATGCTAGGTTCTATTTGGGGGATGGGGGAAGACTAATTACCATATTTAAAGTAAAATATTGAATACCTCCTTTTATGGATGCAGCTAATAGAAACGCTAATATGGAAATGTGAATTGACACACGTGTAAAATACAGTTTTTAAGTGGACTCTTCTAATACTTACCATGGACAAATTGAGAGTACAAGTTTTTTGTTGTGGTGATTATCAGTGAATGATAACTTTTTACACTAAAAATGAATAAATATTCCCGGTGGTTTAATCTCAAAGATTTTGATATTTGAAGCACCTAATGACAATATTTATTAATGGTAAAATTGCTTTTAAAATAATTAATGTACTTAGTATGGGACAATTTGGATATTATCTCACTCAGACTTAAAAATTCTGTTTTCACTAATTTATCCTGGTTTGTTGTTAAATTTTTTCCTGCTAGGGGCTTTGTTAATGTTAATTTTGATAGGTCGAGAATAATATGTTTTAACATACAATTTTTGCCATGAGATGTTAACTCTTCGTGGGGACAACCTCTTGTGGATTTTACTTTTATTTTTTTGTTTTAGAAAGTGATGTGTTCATCTGATAATCAGTTTTATTAGAGCCTGCATTGTTTGTGCAATAGGTAAACCAGAAAGAGTGAACTTTTTTGGAATGTAGACATTATCCTGATAATTTAGATATCTGCTCTTTAATATATAATGTTTTCAAATGGAAATTCCTTATTTATAATTACATGTATTAGGAAGAAACAAATGTTATGGTAGATGTCCTTAAAGCCTTAGCATAGTTTAAAACTGCCCTAATATATGGTTTTTATTGGAGCCTTATGTGTATTTTTTCCTTTTTCTTTTCTCTCTTTTTTTAAAATCCATAATTAATAGGTAATTAGAGACTATTCTTAACATTTGTATGTTTTTCACGTGATTTTGACTTTTAAAAAGAGTGCAAATTACCAGTGTCTTAGAAAACCATTAACCTTTTCTAGATAGCCATTGTGGTAAAATCAAGTAAGGCTTTTAGAGGCCTCATTTTGAAACCCTCTAGTACATGCTTATTTGAAATTAGAGTTATGTGTAGAGAGAGAAATAGTTCTCAGAGGTTGATTGTGGGTATATATTTAATTAAGTAATATATTTAAACTAAGTAAGTAATTCTGTAAGTCTGTAACACTTCCTCTTATACAATGCCAGACTTGGGGAGGGTTGGTGAAAGTCTGCTTTTCTTCTCCAGCCTTCAGTAGGAACTGTAAGTGCATTTAAAGTGTTATTAAAAACAAAACAAAAAAAACAAAACCCTCCATGCAAGAGTGATAGTTTATTTCAAATGATGCACAAACTGGTCTTTAAAGTGAATAAGTAATGTATTTGCATTTCTACCATTCACATAACAGTATTTAAACATTTGATACGTAGTCAAACTCTCCCTTTCCTGTGATGTTGATAATGAATCATGTTCATTTATCTGATTTTTACTATGTGCCAAGAGTAAAAATCTGTGATAAATGCTTTACACATGTATTATATAATTTATATATACACATGTAGTTTCAGCAAAGTAGAGTTGCATAGTAGGGTACTGTCATACCTTAATATATGTGAATATTTTCTGGTATCATTAAATATTTCCTAAAACATAATTCTTAACACCTGTATTATGTTCAGTGTATAACATATTTTAATTGATCTACTATTTTTCTGTTATTTCTGAACAGTGATGCCTTTGATCCTAAGTTGTGTCTTCATCCAAATCTTTTTCTCCTTGAAATAGTCTAGAGATTGAATAAAATACACAAATTTTAAATTGTCTTACTCTTTCTGCTAAATTGCTCTCTAGAAAAGAAGACTCATGTATGAGAGTGCTTACGCCGTTTTCTCTTTGAAAAAAAATTTTTGCCCACTTTGAAGGTGGAAATGAGATTGTATTCCTATTTTTTAAATGTCTGGATAATAAAATAAAATTGATTTTTTAGAAAATAGAAAACTTGTTGGTTGTGGGGCAACTGCACTGTTTTTAAACATAAGGAGAATTAAGATGATCAGATAAAAGGCATTTACTAATAATTTATGTAACTCTCACCAACTTTTATGTGGGGCTTCCCTAGTGGCTCAGATGGTAAAGAATCTGCCTGCAATGTGGGAGACCCAGGTGCCATCCCTGGGTTGGAAAGATCCTCTAGAGAAAGGCATGGCAACCCACTTCATTATTCTTGCCTGGAGAATTCCATGAATGGAGGAGCCTGGTGGGCTGCTCTCTTTGGGATCACAAAGAGTCAGACGCCACTAAAATGTAAAGAATGTTGGACTTGGACTTGGGAGTTGAGTTTCTGTCCTAACTGTACCTAATTTATTCTCTGATTCTGGGCAAGTGACAGCCTTTGGGGTACTCAGTTTGCTAACTTGTAAATCAAGGAATTTGAACTAATCATCATTATGAGCTCTTCCTGTTCTAAATTATCCTAAAGTAATACTGATATACACGCTGTAAGTCTAATGCATTAGACTCCATAGTCTAATACACAGTAACATATGTGTTTGTTAATTGGTCAGTTTGATTAGATTGTTGATTTTGATATGTTTAAGCAAATGAAAAACTTCTAGTAGATCTCATAGGATGATGAAGTAGAAGCATGAATTTTGAAGAACCAAGATACATTTGGAAACAGTTGGTGCATTACTAATCTCTAAAGGCTTCCTCATTTTGAGCTTAAATTAATAGCCATGTGTCTTTGATAATATTTATAATATTCATTACCGATAGAAAACTTTTGTTTTTCCAATAAATATGGTCTTTAGATGAATAAGTGAACAAAAGGCTTTGGGGATAGGTCTTAAGAGGAATATATTAAGATACCAGCTCTCATGCTTTACTTCCTGGCCTAGACGTGTCAAAAGTCAGTCTTTTCATTTGGTTATTCACACAAATGTTAATCTAACACTAGAGAATAATTTCACATTTATTCAGTTTAAGAAATTAACTCAGATAATGAATTGTTTTGTTCTTTTAAGTTTAATTTGCTGTTTATTTCAAGTTTCGTGTGATAGTGTTATCTCATTTTAGAGTCTAGAACCAAAGTCTTAACAGACCCATAAGGTGGTGTTTTTGTGGCACGCAGAATGGTTTGTAATGGGAAGGAAAGAAAAATTGTTGGTATATTTTTGTTTAAACATAGTTCATTATTTTTGCTAAAACATAGTTAATGAGTACTGGATCTCAGACTGAGGTGGTAATTGATTTAGACATAAGGGCTTAGAACTCAGAGTGCTTTTACTAATCTGTAGCTGAAATGTGTCTGCATTCATAATTGAAGAAAATACCAGCAACCATAGCAGAGTTAGAGGTACTTGTGACAGCAACTATGTTAGCTTCACAGGGCTGGTCTAACAAAGTACTGCATGTGTCTTACGGTCATCTTCTCATAAGGACACTAGTCATAATGGATTAGGAGCCCACTCGACTCCACTACGACTGTCTCTTAATTAATTACATCTGTGGTGACCTTCTTTCCAAATAAGGTCGCTTTCTGTGGTGCTGGTGTTAGGACCTAACATCTTTTTGGAGAGATTCAGTTCAATGCATAACACCAATAGACTCATATTTTTTCCCCATACAGTACATTTCCTGTTTAGTTGTTTCAGATATCTTGAAATAGCACTTACTACCATCACTAGTTTGCAATTATTATAGTTATTAAGCCATTGGTAGAGCTTGTATTTTAATATGTTAATACAGGAACATTACTACTCTACCAAAATTAAAAATATTTTAGTATACGTGCTGCCGAAGCAAGCACCAAAATTTAAAATATTTTGATAATTATTTCAATATAATTGATTTATTTTGTAATCTTATGTATTTTGTTTAAAGTCTTTAATATTTTGAGAAAGGGGGCCATTGACTTCACTAGAACTGCCAAAGAGATCCATGGCACAAAAGGTTAAAATCTTCCTGCTATGACTAAGGTCCTAAAGACTGAACCCAAAGGTAGAGATACAAAATAGGAAGGTTAAGAAATATGAATGATAAGATGAACCAGTCCAAGATGCAGCTAACAGTTCCAAAAGAAGAAATAATGGGGGAGAGGAAATACTGAGAGATACTGGCAGAGAATTTTCAAAAAGTAGCAAATTAAACACAATTCAGTGAACTAAAAACAACAAAGCCTCACAGTCAAACTGGATTTATTGCGAGATTGCAAGAATGTCAACATGAGAAAATCAATATAGTTTGTCACATTTGAAGAATAAGGAAAAGAAATGATACAATCTTAAAAAAAAAAAAAAGAAAAAAAAAGAAATGATACAATCTTAAATGCCAGATTGTCATTTGGTCTCTGCTTGTAGTATGGAAGTGAATGTCCATACTTTATAGATTTATGATATAAATGTTCATAAATATGGATTTATATTATTTTTCTGCTTCCTAGAATTTTACTTTTTCTGATTAAAATGAGTATTGTATTTGATCACCTTTTTAGGATTGCTTCTAGTTCAAGAATCCTGAGTGACTGTCTTTGTACTTTGGAAATCCACATTTAATAGATCATCCATGTTGCTTGTAAATGTAGGATTGAACAGTAGAAATTACCTAGCAAATGAAATTTTAAAATTACTTTGGAAGGCATCTTCTTTCTATATTTAGAGTGTGAAGAATAAGCACTTCTAAATTTAAGAGTAATTGGAAATTAGATTTTAATATCAGTTTTATCATTTTATTTCTAAATGTTATCTGTGAAACAGGTATTATAGTTTCGATAAAGGCCATTATGACTTGGAATGCAGAATTTAATTGTCTGTTGGTAGTATATAATGATACTATACTTATGATTAGACACATTTTGTTTGTCTCTTCACTTGGTTAGAGATTACTTTCACAAATATGCAGTATTTGTTAATGTTTTAGTATCCAATAGTTGGATTACCAAACTTTAGAAGGAGTTTGGTGAACTTTGACTTTT